TAGGAGATGCTCGACGGAAACGAATCCGGCGCTGCAACGGCCCCCAGCTCAAAGCCGTGCGGAGACGGATAGAGGAGCGGTGTCTCGGTTCCTCGGTTCGGAAATATGTGTTTTCCGATGGTCTTAGGCGACCCCTGTGAAAGGGTCGTTCGACCCCCAAAGAGGCCGCGACCCACAGGTTGAGAACTGCTGGTTTAGGGCTTGTCCCTTAGCTATAGTACGGAATTCATCGGATGAGATGTATGCAACTTTCGAGTGATCAGTATATTGGTGAACTCCAGCCAGATGCAAAATGCAAACAAACAACTCTGTACCCATGACGAGCCTAAGAAATTTTTAAATGAATCATTGAGCTGGAACAATCAGCCTTTGTTAAGAAAACAAACCTGGGACCTAATTGCATAGAGCTTGTGGTTTTAAATTTCAGCTCTGTAAATAAGGGAAGCCTAATTCATATTTGCTAGGTTTTATTGTCTTCATTCAGTCATTTTTTTAAATACTGCCTGTCAAAGCTGTGTAAGAGAACCAAAATAAGCTATGCAACACATAATCATATAATAATAATGATGATGATGATGATGATGATGATGATGATAATGATGATGATGATGATGATAAAGTTGGAAGGGACATCGGAGGTCATCTAGTCCAACCTCCTGGTCAGGCAGGAAACCCTATACCATTTCAGACAAATGGCTATCCAGTTTCTTCTTAAAAACTTCCAGTGTTGGCGCATTCACTGCTTCTGGAGGCAGGTGGTTCCACTGGTTAATTGTTCTAACTGTCAGGAAGTTTCTCCTTAGTTCTAGGTTGCTTCTCTCCTTGATCAGTTTCCATCCGTTGCTTCTTGTCCTGCCTTCAGGCGCTTTGGAGAATAGCTTGACTCCCTCTTCTTTGTGGCAGCCCCTGAGATATTGGAAGACTGCTATCATGTCCCCCCTCATCCTTCTCTTCATTAAACTAGACATACCCAATTCCAGCAGCCGTTCCTTGTATGCTTTAACCTCCAGTCCCCTAATCATCCTTGTTGCTCTTCTTTGTACTTTTTCTAGAGTCTCAACATCTTTTTTACATCGCGGTGACCAAAACTGGATGAAGTATTCCAAGTGTGGCCTTACCAAGGCATTGTAAAGTGGTATTAATACTTCACGTGATCTTGATTCTATCCATCTGTTAATGGGAGACAGGAACTGTTATCTACTCCAAATCATCCAAGGCCTATTAGGAGATCCCAATTTCCTTCCACTGCTGTGTCTTTTAAAGCATCCCTGTTCCTAAAGAGCACATCAGAATAGGTCTAAGAGCAGGGTCCACCTTCCTTTTAATTGAAAATAAGTGAAATTAAACATGATGGGGCAGAGCTTGCCATATATCTCAAAGGAGTCGTGTGGATATGTTGATGAGCAGCGCACTAACAATTCCATCAGAAGAATGACCAAAATCTTCACTAGTTAGCATGCAGGTAGTCCTCAACTTGCAACCATTCTTTTAATGACCGTTTGAAGTTATGACAGTGCTGAAAAAAGAGACTTATCACGTGTCCCCACATTTACGGCCATCAGGGCACCCACTCAACATCCCGGGGTCAGTAATTGCCATTGCCCAATACAAGCAAAGTCAATAGGGAAGTAGGGAAGCTGGAGCTGCTTAACCACGGTGTGATTTGCTTAATGACTACTGCAAAAGTTGTTAAAATTGAGCCAAGTCTCATTTAATGACCCCATTGTTGCTTAGTGATGGAAGCTCCAGTCCCAATTGTGGTTATAAGTGGTGGACGACTACCGCAGTAGCCATCTGAATCTGTGAAAGAATAACCTGCTTTGAGTGAACGTAGAGTTTAATTCCAGACTTGCTCTGAAGTGCCTTGTATTCCTTCTGTTTTCCAGATGGCAGTCCTGAGATATAGGGAAACGAATGCTACCATCCAGAGCCTCTCACTGGCCCAATTGGAAAGAACACCTGGGAGCCCTGTAGCATCTCTCCATTGCTGTCTTGCATAACCGGTAAGCAGAGAACAGTTATAGAAACGGAACAATATTTCTCTCTAGTTACCTGCCGTACGGGTCTGGATGGGGAGAAACAGACTCAGGCTCAACCCTTCCAAGACTGAGTGGCTGTGGTTGCCGGCTCCCAGGTATGGTCAGCTGACTCCATCGCTGACTATAGGGGGCGAAACTTTGGCCCCCTCGGAGAGGGTGCGCAATCTGGGGGTCCTCCTGGATCCACGGCTGACACTGGACGACCAGTTGACGGNCGGCTGTGGCCAGGGGGGCGTTTTACCGGGTACGCCTGGTGCACCAGTTGCGGCCTTTTCTGGACCGGGATGCCTTGCGCACAGTCACCCATGCCCTTGTCACCTCCCGCCTGGACTACTGTAATGCTCTCTACATGGGGCTTCCCTTGAGGAGCACTCGGAGGCTCCAGTTAGTCCAGAATGCGGCCGCGCGGGCGGTCGCTCCCATGTAACGCCGCTGCTGCGCGAGCTGCACTGGCTGCCTGTGGCCTTCCGAGTGCGCTTCAAGGTGTTGATTATCATCTTCAAAGCGCACCATGGCATTGGACCTGGTTACCTCCGAGACCGCCTTCTGCCACAGATCACCTCCCACCGGCCGATACGCTCCCACAGAGAGGGTCTCCTCAGGGTGCCGTCAACCAGACAGTGTCGGCTGGCGACCCCCAGGGGGAGAGCCTTCTCTGTCGGAGCACCCACCCTCTGGAACGAGCTGCCCCCAGAGATCCAGGTGATTCCGGATCTCCCCTCCTTCCGCCGCGCCCTCAAGACTTGGTTATTTCAGTGGGCAGGACTGGCCTAGGGGTATTTTAAATTGGTTTTAACAAAAAATTTTAGTAGAAGCGGCCTAGTTAAATATTTATTTTTAATCACTTTTAAATTTTGTATTGTATTGTATTATTGTTTTTAAACTGGCTGTAAGCCGCCCTGAGTCCTCCGGGAGAAGGGCGGGGTATAAATTTAATAATAAAAAAAAAAACTAAATAAAAAAATTTGAATCCTTGAATTTGAAGGTTTTTTTAAAAAAATTATAACGTTGTTGCTGTTTTCACCGTTATTGCACCACGGGTCTCTCTTGTCACCGCATGATTACGCAAACCATCTTTTGAAAATGGGTTGAACCCATTTTTCAAAGTTTTGAAATAGGTTTACTGTTCTAAAAAAAAAAAACAAGGCAGGAAAAGAGCAGCGCACCCAGCTTTACTCAGTTTGAAACTTTCTGAGAAATGACATCGTTTGTGATTCCTTTCTAACACGTTTATCCTATACAACAATACTTCAGGAGTCTAACCTTCAGACTGGGCATGGGTCGTTTTTCAGACTGACACTTCACACAAGCCTTTCAGCGAACCAGGATCTGTGGCCGTGGTGGCGAACCTATGGCACGCGTGCCACAGGGGGCACACAGAGCCCTCTCTGTGGGCACGCGCACTGTCGCCCCAGTCCTAGGCCTTCAGCTGGGTTTTATAAAACCTTTTCGCTTTAGGCCTCTGCCGCTGTGTACACACACAAAAAAAGGTTCAATCAATCAATCAATCAATTTCAACTTCTCAGGGGAAAAAAAGATCTCGCAGAGTTGGAATTAATTGATTGAACTTTTTAGTCCCGCCCAGTCTGCCGTTACCACTGAAGCCATGCCCACCCAAAGGGCCACGCCTACCCAAAGGGCCACACCCACCCAGTGGGCCACGCCCACCCGGCACCCAACGATACATAAGTGGGTTTTGGGTTGCAATTTGGGCACTCGGTCTCTAAAAGGTTTGCCATCACTGATCTATGGCCTCAAAACTGTATTGCAGACGGGTCTTCAGTACAGGGAGCCCTCGACTTATAATTCATTCAGTGACCGTTTAAAGTTACAACGGCACTGGGAAAAAAGTGACCTAGGACTGTTTCTCACATTTACGACCGTTGCAACACCCCCAGGGTCACGTGATTTACATTCGGATGCTTGACAACTGGTTCATATTTACGACGGTTTCAGTGTCCCACGGTCACATGATCCCCTTTTGCGAACTTTTGGCAAACCAAGTCAATGGGGAAGCCAGAATCACTTACCAACCGTGTTACTAACTTAACAGCGGTAGTGATTCACCTAACCACGGTGGCAAGAAAGGTCGTAAAATGGGGAAGAATTCACTTAACAGTTGTCTCGCTTAGCAGCAGAAATGTTGGGTTCAGTTGTGGCCGTATGTGGAGGACTTACCTGGAATGTGCTCTTAGTTTTCTGTATGTCCCAGCACGGTCCACCACAATCTGAGTCTGATCCACATTCTCCTTTTGCTTACGGAGAGATGTGCGTTGTGCTGTACCCACGGCACTAACACCCGGGGCATTCTTTGTAGGAATGGTGTCTAAGTGAAAGGGAGAACAAAGTATAAACACCTCTTTTTCTGGCTCAACTTGTTTGCTTAGAATTCTTGAACTCCATTTCTGAAAACAAAAAAACAAACAAAAAATCCCTCTTCTTGGTGCAACTTTGAAGAAGGGGTCCACCGGCACGAAAAACTTGTGACTTTTCAGCTTCCGTGAGTTATACTATGGGAACGTACAAGTGCCCCATTCATTTATCTTAGCGGCTAATCTGGTTAATCTGTCATTTATTTGTTTCTTTATTTGTAGAGAGCAAATGGGATTGTAGAGCTCTTGTCTTCTGGATGTGTTGCTATCTCGGCTGGAGGAAAGAAAAATGCAAATAAGCAATCTTTTGAGATGTATAATGCAGTATGGCAAGAATGGAGATAAGGCAGGGATCTTCAAACTCGGCCCTTTTATGACTTGTGGACTTCAACTTCCAGAATTCCTCAGCCAGCAAAGCTAGCTGAGGAATTCTGGAAGTTGAAGTCCACAAGTCATAAAAGGGCTGAGTTTGAAGACCCCTGAGATAAGGCATAGATGTGAACTTGGGGAGGATATGAACCTTTCCTTCTTGTTAAGGTCTTTTCTCCTTTTCTCCACTGGGTCATAAAAGGGCCATAGTTCCCCGCCCCTGCTTTAGATGTTGAAAGTCTATTACCTTTCTAAATCTCGACTCTTTCTTGCGAAAGCTGCTAATTGATCTTGCTGGAGAGGAACACAGAGTATTCTTTCGTCAATGTTATGTCAGCACCACCCATGTTCAGGCCCGGCACGCTGCAGTTTAAAATAATAGTTTATAGCATGAATAAATGAATAGCATGCGTACATTTGTGGCATCCACATGACACATAACATGAGATCTAGTGGCAGATTCCATTCAGTGAATGGCGAGAGAGAAGAAATATCAACTCACCACGCCTTCCCAGCACTGGAAAAATTCCTGACCTGGATTTTTTTTTTTTTTTGCCCCCTTCCTGGCATAAGTAGCTGTTTGTAATAATAGCTCTGATGACATAGGCAAGCTGTTGCAGGGTATCTAATATTACATCAGATCACAGATTGAGGCTGGAGGAGAGAAAACATCTTGCTTGGCAAAGATTCCACCTACAAGCGCCCTGCTCGCTTCTTCTGGCGGGCAGTGATCAACCGGGAGATGGATCGTGGCCTTCTACTGCCAGTCATGGTGTGAAACCATGCTGTTGGATCTCCACCAACCAAATAGTCACTTTGAACAGATGGTTGGAAGAAATTAAGTGATGTATTTCTGCAGCGGCTGGTACTAAGGAGTTGGTCTTCAACGGCTTAGTGAAAGAACAGGACAAAGAGAAGAGAGAGAGAGACAGAGACAGAGGGAGATGTGAGTATGCTAGAATATATGAAGGACACGTATACATGGAGATGGAGGGGCGCAGTGGCTCAGCTGTTAAAGACATTGAGCTTGTGACATCCGCTCCTCTTTCGTTGGCTTTGGGCTGTTTGCGCATCTCTTCTCTCTCGCTCTCTCGTTGCGATGGATCCCCAGAATTGTGGCTGCGCCACCGGTAGTTCTTGCTCCTGCAATGGATCCTGCAAATGCAAAAACTGCAAGTGTACTTCGTGTAAAAAAAGCTGCTGCTCTTGCTGCCCAGCCAGCTGTGACAACTGTGCAAAGGGCTGTGTCTGCAAAGACCCTTCTCTGAACAAATGCAGCTGCTGCCCCTGAACCCCTGACCACTTTTTTTTCCTGTAACTAGGTTAAATCTGTTGTGCAGTAAATATGATTTTTCAGGCTACAGCAATGCGTGTTGTCATTGCTTCTAGCTGGAGAGCATGAAAATAAAGCTGACTAAAAAAGACAAAAAAAAAAAGACATTGAGCTTGTCAACTGGAAAGCTGACAGCTTGGGTTCAAGACCTATTTGCTGCATGACCATATGAGTTCCCGTTACTTGACCCAACTCCTGCCAACCTTGCAGTTTGAAAGCATGCAAATGCGAGTAGATCAATAGGTACCATTTTGTTGGGAAGGTAACAGCGTTCCATGTGCCTCGGCGTAGAGTCATGCTGGCCACATGACCACCGAAATGTCTTCAGACAACGCTGACTCCCTTGGTTAAGAAATGGAGATGAGCAGTGCCCCCCCCGAGCAGTCAGACACAACTGGATAGAGGGAAACTATACCTTTACCTTTACATGGAGATGAATACATGTGCACTTGCGTATGGTTGGATCTGGCACCCTACATAACCTTCAGAGTAAAAATGGATGCTAGTCCATAATTTACGGCTAACTAAAATGCTGCTAGTTGAATCTAACCATGTGGCTTTCTTGCAACTGCTGAGACGTTTTGTTCATTTATTTTTAAATTTAGACTAGCTAACCTTTTGCTGTTCCCTAATGGCCTCCCATTGAATCCTGTCTCCTAACTTTGAACCAGGAACTCTTGACCATTCAACCTTCTTTTTTACTAGTTCTTTTGCCAAGACTTTTCACTATAGATCCTAGTATTTACATATGTCTAAAATTCAGCACCAATGTCATTTGGTTTTTGATGTTTCCAAATAAAATGCCACTTTTAATGACTACTTTAAAAAAAAAAGATTCAGAGAAGAAATTAAAGATGCATTTTTTAAGCTTCCTAGCTTTCAAGGAAGCAAGGTGTGCTCAAGTGGAGTTCAGCAAGATGTGTAAATTTTATGAAAGGGAAGTGTCCGAAAGTGATGGAATAAGAGTGAGCTGTACATGTGTGTTGTATCCCCAAATTAAGTGTGACAAGGAAAATACTCCAGTGGTGGCAATGATTAAGTTTATAATTCAGAAGTGGACACCAAAGTTTGAAATTGTCTGAGAACTTTAATAAGAGCTATTATGGCTAAACTCAGTTTGGATAATGTTGCACTATAGTTTGGTATGGAGCATGGAATGCATACAGGCAAGGGATAAAGGGATGATTTGAGTTTGGAGCATGTTTCTCAATCTCATTACTTATTTTGGAGATGACTGCTGCATTAAACGTACCAGGCTAATATCTAGGACGCTTAATTAGAATTTTCCAGCACAGCATTATAAATTGCTGCCTTTATGACTGAACTAAGTACAGATATGATGTATTTAGTTCTTGTCTACTTATTTTCAGTGTTGGCTGGTTTAATTACACTTTCTTATCACATGCTCTTGGGCTGCCACTTGGTTCAACATATGATTCATGTGGCAGGTCAATTCAGTTTCTTCTTAACAGCTTTTGGCTAAACAGTTTAATGTGGGAATTGATCAGTTTAATGCGCTCTCTGAAGATAAATGGCATTAGTTTTCCTTATTCTACATGAAGAACGGGAGGGGTGAGTTGTTGTTTTTTTTCTATGTTTTCACTTGGTGGTTCTTCCTGTTCAATCTTGTAAAAACATAGTAACCTGCAGTCCACCTCTTGACTAATTCTGGCTAGTGAATTGATAAACTTTCACGGTTGGGATGCTGAGCTGATTTCAGGCTAAATGATTACCTTCTTGTCAGCATTTTAAGTTGTTAGACCTGAACAACCTCATGGATTGCCTTCAGCCTGCGTCTGAGACTTTGAAGAGTGAAATTGGTGGCTGTGTAGAGGTGGCCACGGTTTCCTGTTGCTACTAGGTTGAATTATTTCCACAATATTCTGCTTTTTCTCAGTTTGCTTGCTACAATCTTCTCTCCCCACCGTCAAGAAGCCCCGAGGACATTGGAGCTTTTTGGGGGGAGAGGAGAGAGTACATGTAGTCCTTGACTTACAACAGTGACTGTTTCAAAGTTACAACGGCATTGAAAAAAGTGACTTAGGACCATTTTTCCCACTTACAACCATTGAAAGATCCCCATGTTAACATGATCAAAATTTGGATGCTTGACAACTGTATTTCTGTCGGTTGCAGTGTCCCGGGGTCACCTTTTGAAACCTTTTGACAAGCAAAGTCAATGGGCAAGCCCTATTCATTTAACAACTGTGTTACTAACTTAACAACTGCAGTGACGCACTTAATAACTGTGGCAAGAAAAGTTGTAAAATAGGGCAAACCTCACTTAACAAATGTCTCTCTTAGCAACATAAATGTTGGGCTCAATTGCGACCGTATGTTGAGGACTACCTGTATAGCAAATGCTTCAAAAGCGGTGGCCTTAAGTTCTCCACCTTTTAAGAGTGTCTACCTGCACTTGGGTCCCAGAGGCCTCTGGAAAAATAAAAATAAAGCGTGTATTTCTTTCTGAGGTGATATTAGGCTCCATTCAAAGGAAGCAGTTCTTGGCTTTCTTTAATGTAGGGAAAATTACAATGGGTGGGGTTATCAAATGCTTTGAGGAAAATAGCCAATGCATCTTTCAGTTCCCTGTGCCGGTTGAATAAGTCTAAATGTTTAAGCTTATTTAAAGCCTTGTTTCTAGAAAATATTTACTCAAAGTCTAAGAAAAACTGTGAATGCCTAGGTTTGACTTGAACAAAATGAATGGCTCTGGATACTTTCCATAGTTATCTGTCAAGAGCTCTTCTTTGTCATGCACTGAACCTGTTCTGGAATGTTCTAAAATTTGTCCTTGAGACAGGAGTCTTGGCTTTTGTCCATAGCCTGCTACAAATATTTGCATGTCCATTTTCAGTTCATCTGGTATCGCATGGCAAATATTGCCTGTCAGGTTAAATAATGTTTAATCTAAGTTAAATAATGGCACAAAAGTTCACCTAAGACAAGAATGTCAGGGGAAAAACACAAACAGCCATAGGAATTTTTTTTTGCCTTTGGGGAGAAAAGAGAAATAAGATAGCTTTAGTATATAAGAATGTAAGAACTCAAGGGAGCCAGAATTCTGTGTCACCACAGTGGCCAACCAGAAACATTCAGAAGTCAATCAATCAATCAATCAGAATAGAGCTGGAAGGTATCTTGGAGGTCTTCTAGTCTGCTCAAGCAGGAGACCCTATACCGTTCCAAATAAGTGGCTGTCCAGTCTCTTAAAAGCCTCCAGTGATGGAGCACCTACAACTTCTGAAGGCAAGCTGTTCCACTGGTTAATTGTCCTGACTGTTAGGAAGTTTCTCCTTAATTCTAGATTCCTTCTCTCCTTGTTTAGTTTCCATCCATTGTTTCTCGTCTTGCCTTCTGGTGCTTTGAAAAATAAATTGACCACCTCTTATTTGTGGCAGGCCTTCAAATACTGGAATGCTGCTAGTCCTTCTTTTCTCTAGACTATCAATCAAAGTATCAGCTGAAGAATGATACAGTAGTGGATCAGATTATAAGCATTAATAAAGGAGAATATCTATAGCTCAGGGTTGATCTGAGGGGTCCTTGGTGCTCTCTGAACTTGCTTGTAGTAGCACTGATGATGTTACCTGTAATGAAACAGCTGCAGGAAAACGACCTAGCTCAGAGAGCACCAAGGATCCCTTATGACCACAATTGCATCAGAAAATGCTCTGTTGAGTGCTGTAGTCATTAAGTGAGGCATCACATGACTGTGACTGATTTTATTATCTTTTGCCAGAGTTATAGCCAACACTCCAAAAGACAGGCTTAAGATATAGAAGGATCTTGACAGACTTGAACATTGGGCGCTATCTAATAAAGTGAAATTCAAGGGTGACAAAAGTAAGGTTCTAAAATTAGGGAAGAAAAACCAAATGCACAGGTATAGTATAGGGGGTACCTGGCTCAATAGTAGCAACTATGAGAGGGATCTCAGAGTCCTAGTGGACAACCACTTAAATATGAGCCAGCAGTGTGCTTCAGCTGCCAAAAAAGCCAACAGAATGCTAGGCTGCATTAACATGGGATAGAATCAAGACCACATGAAGTATTAATACCATTTTACAATGCCTTGGCAAGGCCACACTTGGAATACTGCATCCAGTTTTGGTCACCACGATGTAAAAAGATGTTGAGACTCTAGAAAGAGTACAGAGAAGAGCAATAAAGATGATCAGGGGACTGGAGGCTAAAACATGTGAAGAACGGTTGTTGGAATTGGGTATGTCTAGTCTAATGAAGAGAAGGACGAGGGGGGACATGATAGCAGTGTTCCAGTATCTCAGGGGCTGCCACAAAGAAGAGGGAGTCAAGCTATTCTCCAAAGTGCCTGAAGGCAGGACAAGAAGCAACGGATGGAAACTAATCAAGGAGAGAAGCAACCTAGAACTAAGGAGAAAGTTCCTGATAGTTAGAACAATTAACCAGTGGAACAACCTGCCTCCAGAAGCTGTGAATGCTCCAACACTGGAGGTTTTTAAGAAGAGACTGGACAGCCATTTGTCTGAAATGGCATAGGGTTTCCTGCCTGAGCAGGGGGTTGGACTAGATGACCTCCAAGGTCCCTTCCAACTATTATTATTATTATTATTATTATTATTATTATTATTATTATTATTATTATTATTATTATTATTATTATTATTATTATTATTATTATTATTAGAAGGTCACAAAAGAGATCATACGATCTCAGAATGCTGCAACTAACATAAATCTGAGCCAGTTGCCAAGCGCCTGGACCATGATCATGTGACCCTTGCTACAGTCATAAGCGTGAGGACCAGTCATAAGTGTTCTATGTTTAGTGCTGTCCTATCTTTGAACCATTGCTAAGCAAATGGACTTGAGCTGAGGAGCAGGTGTGCAAAATCGTTATAGGATATATGGTAATGGAGTTAAAATGTGCCCCCCCTTTTTTATAACCAAATTGGAGAACAGAGACACACACAAATATTGTAAAGAACATAAGCCTCGTTGTAAAGAGAAAATGAATTTGATTTCTTTTTCTTTTTAAAATTATCACATATAAACCTTTAACAGGTCAAACAATACACAGTATTTGTGCATGAATTAGAGTAAACTTCCTTGTCTGGGAGAGAGCAGCTCTTAATAATAACCATAGTATTTTCAGCAATCATGGACTAAGAGGGAAGGAGAATTGTATTACCAAAGGTTGCATAAGCCATAAATCCAATTTAGGGGTGGGGAAACAATCTTGACTTGTTGCGGAAACTCTGGATTTTGCTCTAATTCAGAGTGGAGCCACCTTGCGTAGCTAGAAAGCCGATTTAGCTTCATTCAGTTTGGCAGAAAGTTCCTTCCTGGAGACAGAGAGAAAGCTGCTCTTTCCTTTTGCTTATGGCTGATTTTTATCTCAGAGAACATAATTTGATTCGTTGCTGCTTCATCGCTACCAGCTAATTTCTGAAAAGTTTTCCACCTTGGCTTTCCTGCATCTTCTCACGGATGAGCAGATGCTGCTGGTAGGAGCCTGTCTATTGCTGTGGCAAACTGAGATGCTTATGACCGGAACTGAATAGAGTCTTTGGATTGCTGCGTGTGTGGTGTTGTGTACGAATCCCTCAGCTGTGACTTTCTCCCCAACTGATAATTCCCTGTGCAAAACCTGATGCTGTAAACAAGGCAACTGTGATAAACATAAGGAAAAAAATAAAACACAGTGAGGTTGCACATATCTGGGCAGGCGTGGAAAATAATTGACGTGTAGATTCGTGCAACTAAGAAAATTCAGGTAAGGGTGTTTCCCTTCTTTCTCCCCCCCCCCTTTTTTAAAAAAAGTGTGCAGGTGGCCCATAGAGATGTTTGGGGAGAGAGAGAGAGAAAGAGCATGAAAGCGCTGGTGGTGATTGTGTGCAAGGCTTCCCATAGGCTATTTTAGTAAGCGGGAATACAATGATGAAGACAAGATGTTTGTACCTGTTGCAGAAAGCAGGGATCGGGTTCACTGTCCTGGGAAACAAACTCTGTAGAAAAAGGTGATCCATCTTTTCTTCAAATCATGATCTGGAAGGTCTTTGGGAACGTTCCTGCTCTTCACTTTTTATAAATTTTTTGAGGGGCAGATAAGCCATCGCAGCTAAAAGCGTAGTCTCTGCAAAAAAAAAAACACACAAAAACAAATCACCTGGACTTGTACTTGTACAAAAAGTAACAGGCGAGGAGATGTGGGGATTCATTTGGTTCTTGGGAGCTTGAAAAGATTACACCCCATCCCACCCCGTTGCTTTTTAATCGTGTCTAAAATAAAATAAAATAAACATGGTCATGTTTTCTATGTGAAATGGACTTTGCGTGGCCTTCAGGTGCATCTGGAACCATTCCTTGATGTTGAAGATTTTAGGATATTTTTTAATAGGGTTTTTTTGTTGTTCTTTTGACTTTAAGAAGCAGAAGAAATCCCAAGATCTGTGGCTACCTTTATTACTTGGCTATTCTTCCCTTCTCAGCAGGCGAGGAAGAAAAGCTTGAAGGTATATTTTTTAAAAGGCATTTAAGGTGCAGGTGTAAGCGAATAACTACTCATTGTTTTGCCCAGTGCAAAACAGCCTGTGGGATCAATAGCACCATTGTAGACAGCCGCTTCGTAAGGCTCATGAATCGATAGTAAGGACTCCTTCACTGGGCAGTGGGTTGGACTCGAAGATCTCCAAAGTCCCTTCTAGCCCTATGATTTAATGACCTTATAGAACAGAGGTCTCCAATCTTGGCAACTTTAAGACTTGTGGACTTCAACTCCCAGAATTCCTCAGACAGCTTGGGAGTTGACGTCCACAGGTCTTAAAATTGCCAAGTTTGGAGACCCTTGTTATAGAAGGTACAGCTATATTGGCCAACGGTCATGAGAGTTCAGAAAGGAAAGTCATCTGCTGAGAGAAACAATAACTTGAATGTTGTAAGTTACTAAATGGAGACAACCAGGTATAAAAGGTGGAACTTATAGCTGCAATATGAGCCGATATGAAATAGAGCAGCTTTACTGCAGTATTAAAGCTGTTCTCAGTGGAACAATTGATTTAACTTTAAGTATCAAATGTTCCCATCAGCTTTTTTTTCTGGCTTGTGGCTCTCCGGTTGTTCTGGAGACAGACGCTGAGATTGGTAGAAGTTTCCATAAAATGGAACTGAAAGGCAAGATTTTTTGAAGTTGCTGCTGGCTGATATGTTTTGTTTTATTTTTTATTGATTTCATTGTCAGGGTTTTCTTTTTCTTTTTTGGGGCAGGTGGCTATGAGCTGCTAGGAGTTTATGGAGAGTTGGGCAACAGGCTAGTTTCATTTATTATTATTATTATTATTAGTTTGAAACTGCATCCTTTTTTGGGATTGCTCCAGAATAAAATGACAAACTTTACATGGTGAGCTGCCAAATTAATTCTCTTTGCTGCAGAATTAGATCCAGAATTCAGATGCTTTCCATAAAAAAAAAAGACTTATTAACCTGGTTGGTTGTAATACTGAGTTCCAGTTTTAATATAGACAGTTCTAAGATATTTGTAAATGGTATAAGATCTACATGGTATAAGATCTACATGGTATAAGATCTCCTACCTTGGGCACCACCTTGGAGAGGACCTCCGAGGTCCTTTCCAACTCTACATTTCTGTAAATAGCTAATGAAAGATGGAGCCCCAGACTCAGTGGTGGGATTCAAATATGTGAACAACCGGTTCTCTGTGTGGATGCTGCTTCCAGAAGTCCATTCTGGGCCTGGGCAACAAAAAATTAGCTACCGGTTCTGCCGAACTGGTGCAAACTGGCTGAATCCCACCTCTGTCCAGACTGGCACCTTCATTTTGGAGAGTAGGAAAATTTTAACCTTGATCTTACTGTACTTCCCAATCCGGCCCCAGTATGGATTCTTCTAGTCTCAATTCTTAAGAAGAAAAAAAATGCTGTTAAAAACCAAGACAAGAACATCTTTTCTCCCCCTTGAAATGAAAAATGGTGTTGAATTTTATGCCATAATAATGATTTGATGTGGGTCATGGTGATAAAGAATTGTAAGGCAAAAGAAATTCTGACTTTATAGGAATCAGCTAATGTATTTCACTCACTGGTTCCCATTTGGCCTCTCCCATTAATGGAAGTTCTTGGCTGTTCCTTTTAGTGGTAGTTCCTGTTTGGCTTTTCCCATGCAAGAATCAAGGATGTTGCATCCTTATAAGCATAAGCCAACAATCAGACTTTATTTTTTGGGGTTTACATTTTTTTAGGAGCAACAAGACAGATACCTAATTTGATTGAAAAGATAACTCACGTTAATTTATTAAAGTTGAAAGGAAACAAGCTGGAGTAAGCATGCCCTAGTCTTTCTTTATAGAGGCTTATTCCAAGTCCTGTAAATCAGAATTCTCTGGAATGCTAGCTTTCCTTTCTATGTGAATCTCTTTCCAGGTCTACAGCATCAATTTTATGGTGGGAAAGTCTTTGAGGGGTGTGTTTCTTTTAAAAAAAAATAATTAAAAAGGCCTAATTAATCAAACAGGAGCTGCCACCTTGACATTCTGCTGATATAATTTAAAATCCGAGGGGATCATTTGAAAGCATGGAAAAGACAGAAGAAAATCACAGTACTCTGGAGGTAAGATGCTGCCTACCTTATCAGGAGGGTGTGTTGTGTTCAAGAGAGGAGGTCAGTACAGTTTAACATATGGATGAAGCTACTATACGACCAATCCTATTTTATTTTGCATTTCTTTCCTGCTATTGGGTCTATCTTGTTCCATCTCCTCCTCTAACTAGGAAAGTGCTTCTGAGAAAACGCAGCATCTCTCTGTGGCTTGGGGTCACTCAGGGATACCTTAGGACAGTGGTTCTCAACCTGTGGGTCGGGACCCCATTTGGGGTTGATCAACCATTTCACGGGGGTCGCCAAGCAAGGCTGTCCGCCATTTTTTTTGTCCGCCATTTTTTTGGTCTGCCATTTTTTCCCCCTTTTCCGGCAGGTGCCTTACCTCCTTTGGGCTGGGCCAGCTGGTGGCCGGCCTGCTCCGTCTCTGCCGCTTGCCAGCTACGCCTCGGCCGACGCAGGGGGTGGAACCACGCATGCGCGGCGCTCCCGGGCAGGGAAAGTCCTCGACTTACGACCGGTTGGGTAGTCCTCGACTTACGACCGGTTTAGTCCTCGACTTACGACCGGTTTAGTCCTCGACTTACGCGACTTAGTCCTCGCGGCATTAAAAAGGTTGAGAACCACTGCCTTAGGAACTTGTATTTATAGATGAAACTCAAACTGGCCAACTGGCCAGTCCTTAGCAAGGGAATCTAGACTGGCAGGAAGAATAATATACATGCAAAATACAACTCACCAGTGGACATCAGAAAGTCCTTGTTTGCAACGTATGCTTTGAAATAAGATTGCAGAATAGTGTTTCGTTCCTTAGAAGTGCTGAGATAGCCTTCCCTCTTTCCTCAAGGATTCTAGATTTCTTTACTTGCTTTTTATTTTCTGCCTCCTTTTTTTCTAAACATTTGGCAATTCCGGAGTCACAGTGTCACAAAGACCTTTTATCAGACTGCCACAATATTATGACAAGACCTAAAAAAAAAAAAAAAGAGCTGCACTTAGGACATGCAAAAAGAGGTATTGAAAACTGAGAGTTTTTGCTGCCATCCAGTGATTGTGACTGATATTTGGGTGTAAACACGAAGAATTGTCTAGATATGTGTGTATTTGTGTATACGTACACAAATGAAAAATGGGGGGAAACAAAAGGGATGGAGGGGGAAAAAACAACGGAAAGACAAATGCAGAAAGGGGAAAAAAGATTTACAAAAATATATTATGTGACATAGATTATTATTATAGATTATTCAAGTTTAAAATGTATCATTTATCTTGACTACAAATCTTATTCTTAATGTAGGGTCATAAAAACATTAATTGTCTATTGATTTATAGCTATGAATATTACCACATTTTATTCTAGAATTCTTGCATATATAGCTGTCTTAGTGATTGTTTTTAATTGTTTATTAAAAATACTAAGATTAGAACCAACTGAACTATGCTCTAATACTGTAAATTAAGTCGATACTGTACATTTGGAGCCAGGTGCAACAAAAAACAAATATCAAGTGATGTTTTATTTTAATATATCACCATTTTCAAGCCAAAATTCTCCTTGCAGTAAATCAAAGAGTTTCAAAAGATGGTTGGCAATAAACTCATCTAAAGTATCAATGCCCTTCCATGCCTGTCTGTCTGTTCTATCTGTCTTTGTCTGTTTTGTCTGTCCATCCATCCATCATTTATCCATCATCTATCCATCATCTATCTATACTGTAGATAGACAGATGATAGATGATATTCTATTCTATTCTATTCTATTCTATTCTATTCTATTCTATTCTATTCTATTCTATCTTTCTATTATATCCCATCCATCCATCCGTCCGTTTATCTTACCGTACTGTCTGTCTGTCTGTCTGTCTGTCTGTCTGTCTGTCTGTCTGTCTGTCTGTCTGTCTGTCTGTCTATCTGTCTATCTGTCTATCTATCTATCTATCTATCTATCTATCTATCTATCTATCTATCTATCTATCTATCTATCTATCTATCTATCTGTCTGTCTGTGTGTGTGTGTGTTGTGTCTGTTTCCGTGTCCTTTTTCTTCTTTTCACAACAGAATTCTGTTTTTGACGTAATGTGATCTTATAGCAAAATAAATACATTGAATTGAACCAAAGTGGCAACTGGAGAGAGACTATCTGCAGCCACCTGCGGCTTTCCCTTTAGAGCTAATGAAAAGTATTTTGTTATTTTTCCACGGGCTGAAATGTTGCTTAGTTCTCATGCTGTGAATTTAGGTTGATTGGCATTTTATTTTTGCTGCTCTTTGCTCTTGCTTTTTAATGTGCTATTGTTTTTTTTATTTTAGAAAAAGAACTAACATACTTTTATGTTCTCCTAGGTATCTCCATTAACCATTCTTTCTGGTTTAGCTGTATCAATAGTATTTAAATAACATGAGTTTGCACTCTATATTAAATATAATTCTACAAATATAATTTTTCCTTTAAATATCCAGTGGGATATTTTTGGGAATTGTGGGCATCCATGGAGAGAGCAGAACTGTGGTAGATTATCTTGAGTGAAAAATCATAACGCCAGTAGGACACTGCCATCTTCAAAAAATAATGTATACTTTGAAGTATTGCTGTAAATGATTAAATATGTGAGGACCAAGGTCAGGCTCAAAGTCCTTGAGGTCAGCCAGGTCCTATAGGAGATGACCAGGCTGAGCCCGAAGGAGGGGGTCAAACCAGTGGTGGGATTCAAATATGTGAACAACCGGTTCTCTGTGTGGATGCTGCTTCCGGAGGTCCATTCTGGGCCTGGGCAACAAAAAATTAGCTACCGGTTCTGCTGAAGTGGTGCGAACCAGTTGAATCCCAAAACTGGGTCAAACACATCATCTGGAGAGGAGAGGAGAGGAGAAGAGAGGAGAGGAGAGGAGAGGAGAGGTGAGGAATCCTTTAATGCATGGAGTTCTTGGTATTTTCTGAGTTGTTTTCTTGCAGTTGTTTCATTACCTAACTAGATTGTGTGTCAGCGCTGAAGATATTACTTAGTTGGGTAATGAAACATCTGCAAAAAGACAACCACACTCAGAAAGCACCAAGCACCCCAGATTTCAACTCTCGAGTTACAAATATTCCCTTCCATTGGATACCTTTAATACGTTAATGAAAACTTATTTAGAAGACTTCCATTTATTTTTAACCTTTTGTATGTCTTCTTTCTCAGCAATGCTGGGTCTTAATAAGCTTTGCTTACCGTACATGAATCAGTCATTGAGGCTATAAGCTACATCTGTGTATTTTGTGTGCACCCATCCGGTTATGATTTGTTCAAGAAAATGTGGCTGAACAATTCATAATTGAGGAACATTGTGGACTTAAAAGTCATATACCTCCTCAATGATGGGCTGTCAGAGCTATTGAGGGTTGATCGGCAAGAATTTTCCAGAAAGATCTTTTCCTGATGCTTATTTTTTAAATTGAAAATAGTAGTGGTTGATTCTGGGATCTTCTGCGTTCAGCATGTGGTCTGCCATCAGTCTGTAATTCTTCACATTATTTTCATATGACCCTGGGGTGTTTCTTAGTTATTATACCTCAGACAAAGAAGTATAAGATGCCTGCACATTTTAAGCATAGGAATGTCCTGGTATCTAAGTGCAAAAATTAGTTTCTATACAGAGTTTATTATAAAGATGAGAAAAATATGTTATTAATCAAAGAGGGAAAATATGACTGTATTGTTTATTCATGCCATATAAAGAATATATAATAGTGTAAATTATTGATGCCCCTTTATTAGCTCACTTAGACTTGCTTAAGATTATTATTTGGGGATATATTGTATGCATTGCACCAGACACAGAATTGAACAATAAGTTGTAACTAAGAGAAAAACTTATAAACATTTAACTTCCCTCTGATAATGCTGGTATGAATGCTATCTTGATATCAATCTGACATAATTCCCATTAATGTGTTTATTATCAGAAAGTGGAATTCTTCCCCGACTTAACTACGTGATATTGAATTTTTCTCAGAAAGATTGCCCATTCTGGGGGGGAAAAAACTTGCTACTTACTCCTCCAGTAAAGAAAGTTATATGTGTTTAGCAAGGCACGACCACTTAATTTTCTGTTAAATAGCTTTTCACTTTCTCAGAGCTACATTTGCACAGTCATCTGTGTTTGCTTTTCCAGTGTGGTGCACTTATTAAAGGCAGCAAATGTGAAATAGTTTTCTAAACCATTGGAACGGGGAGGTAAATACAAGCATGTTCTGTATTTAGCTTATTTGTGTATTGCTGAAAGTTCTGAGGAACTAACAATGCAAAACTTCTCTCCAAATATAAATAAATCCACCCAGAAGGCTAATTATACAAACCTCTGTGAGTCCCTTACAAGGGACTCACCTACACAACTAAGATCACAGTAGAGTTCCTATGTACAAGATGCACAGAGGTCAGCCACTTGATGTTGAAATTTCCTCAGATTATCAATCTCATAAAAGATCCTCTAGTAAAGAAAAAAGCTGTGCGTGTTCAATAAGGCATGATCATTTAATTTTCTGCTAAATATTTTCATCTTCTCAGACTGCAGTTATACAATCATCTCAATTTCCAGCTCCTGTCTGGAATTCTTTGGTTCAAATTCTTTGGTTCAATCTTCCTCTGGAATTGTGCTGCAGTTCTGAAGGATGGCTGTATGAGGCTGGGCAAAAATGCCCCTGATGTTCTTCTGCTGGAGAGTTGAAGAACCATCTGGAACTCAGGAGAAACTTCCTAACAGGGAGGACAATTAACCAGTGGAACGGCTTGCCATCGGAAGTTGTAGGTGCTTCATCACTGATCTCCTAGCTTGATTTTTGATTTTCCTTTCTTGATTTCTGAAGTTGCATAGCCCACAGTGGTTCTGAAAGCATATGCTTATAGTACATTGCATGAACGTCCTAAAAACTAAGAGGAACTAAAGTGTGGAACCAGATGGTGGCTCCCATTTATAGATAGTCCTCCACTTAACAACCAGAACTGAGCCCAACGTTTCTGTTGCTAAGTGAGAC